CCTGAGAGCTGCTATTAAATTAAAAACAGAGCTGCCAAAACTCTTTGCAAATGACCTCTCTGATGGGAACCAGTGTTTCCAACCTGTACCAAGAGGGGAACTCTCTTTTAGGTGCCTGGGGAGGAGTGATAAAGGTGGTGAGTGTTTTACACAAGGTCACTTGGGAAAACTGTTTTGTGTTTGATTCTTCTGAACCCCTGAGTCACCCCACATTATTGCTGTATCTGTAGCATGATTAACAATGTAACCAATAACTTTTTTTAAAAAAAAATACAACATGTAGAACCCTTAACTCTAATGTTCCTCACATCATAACAATACCAGCTCAGCTACAAGTTTTCCCCAAAGTGGAGCTGGTCTAGTCCTCTATTCACTTAGTTTCAAAGAGCAGGAAGCCTGCGAAGGTGGAGAAGCGTTGGTGGTCCCCGTGCAGAGCGCCGTTGCCCATCCTCAGCCAAACCTCATCTCCTTTGGCCAGCTTCAGCACTGCGTGGTTGCTGGACGTGTCCGATTTCCCCTTGGTCTCGTAGCTGGAAAGAAAAAAAAGGCACCATCTACTTAGGCTTTGCAGTGGGCAGCCTGCTCTTCACCAAAATCTGCCCTCCCCTTCTCTCTCAGCTCTCGTGCATTTAGGGATAGTCCTGGGATTAAGTTCTTTCAAGGACATGTGAACAGAAATGGCAGGTGCCGCCGCTAGAATTGGCCAGTGCAACTCTCAGGAACACCCCAGCTTGATCCTTCCTCATTGTGATTGTGTGGGATGCTAAGGACAATGACCAGAATGACCTTGGAAGTTGTGTGTTGAGGCCTGAGTGCTGGAAGACTGTGTAGAGGAAAGCTCTCTATCGTCTGCCACAACCGGAGCAACCATTCTGGGCTGTCCCATGAGGAAAAAAGGGGTTTCCGCGGTGGCCAAGCCTTTACATTGGGCCAGTGTTGCAGTAGTTTAGTCCACCCTGGCTAATTTAGAATTTGGTATTAGAGGGAGGGCTGCCAAACTAAAATACAGATGCTCCTTGATTCACGATGAGATTATGTCCAAATAAACCCATCGTAAGTTGAAATACCATAAGTCGAATCATTATGTTGTGCATCTGCAATGAATATAATTTGTATGCCAATTATACCTTAATAGAAAAAGTCTTAAAAAATTAGCTGTTCTACCTAAATGGATTGTTTTTGAAGGTCTTCTGGTAGCCACCATTAAGTTGAGAGATAAGGGTATGAGAACAAGAAATCAAGGAAATAACAGGCTGAAAAACTGTCAAGAAAATAACATTGGATGTGGTTTATTAACACAGATAACTGACTGGTAGCAAATAGATCAGAAGCCTACATTTCTGAGAAAATGGTATTACCGAACACACACACACACACACACACACACACACTCACACACACACACACACACACACACACACACACACTGGCCTAAAGGACTTTGGGATTTTCAACTAAGTCCTCTTAGCCTTCAAATTGGCATGAGCAGAAAACAGGCTGTGAAAGACCCCCACGGAGAACCTACTCACCTTTTAGATATGGCCCTGGAGACACACAAACAAGGAAGACCCTCCCAGAGGACAGCATCAGGGGCCAAAGGGACAAACAGCCCAGAGACTAACTTGAACAAAAGGACTCTTCATCCTCTGAGATTGTGGGCTCTTAGCTGGATATATTAACTGCAGTTTAGGGCACTTCCCATGGGGGCAGAGTGGGGGAGACTTGTATTCTAAACGTGGGAAGAAGGGTTCAACAGATCTTTCATAGCCAGAGAGGCAGAGAAGGCTGGCTGTTCACCAGACTTCAAGACCCCTCCTGCATAGGAGCTGCTGACATCCTTGCTGTCTCTGGTTGGGTAAAGTTAGGCGGGGAACCATGTGGCACAGGTCTCTGAATAGAATGCCTGATGCCTAAACATTTCCACAAGCTTGCTGCGCCTTCCTCCTTCTGACTGTGACAAAGACAATGACCCGCGAGAATTTGGAAGTCAGTTTTATGGAAGGCAGAACTGCTTTCACCAGACTATGTTTTCAAAAACCAGGCAGAGCCCACACCCTCCTCCCAACCTCCACACACCCTGTCCTTCTCCCTTTCTGGTCCTGGTCAAGAAGAATAGAGTCCTAAGGTGTTCGAGCCACTATATGCTGTATCTCTTTGTTACAGTACCTTCACCTAAATGACTCATCTTTTTCTCTTTTGGCATTTCAGATATCTCCGCCCACTGGTGGCCAGGCTCCAGAAGAAAATGTGCAATCCTCACAAGTCATCAAAAATAACAGGGAAGCACGGCCGGCGTGGCTCAGGGGCTGAGCATCAACCTATGAACCAGGAGGTTACAGTTCGATTCCCAGTCAGGGCACATGCCCAGGTTGTGGGCTCGATCCCCAGTGTGGAGCGTGCAGGAGGCAGCCGATCAATGATTCTCTCTCATCGTTGATGTTTCTAGCTCTCTCTCCCTCTCCCTTCCTCTCTGAAATCAATAAAAATATTTTTAAAAAAATAAGAGAGAAATGATAACAGCCCCAAAGTTTTCCGTAGATAACTAACCAACAATTTAATTGTGGGGAAGATGTTAGCTCTTTGCCTCTTTCCCACATCCTATGCTTACACCACAGCAAGTTGAAATATTTCTTCTAAAAATAATTTCCTCCTCAAGGAGCCCTAGTGCCAGATTGCTAAGATAAATATCAGAGCAATAGCACGGCCAGGAGAGAAGAACCTACTCCAAGCTCTCAATCCATCAGCCCACAGGGATGGTAGACAAGGCCATCCATGGGGCTAAACTCTAAGCAAAAGGGGTGGGAGAGTGGGAAAGCAGAAGGAAAGAATGAGAGGGAAGGAAAGAGATGATGCGTTAAAAAAAGAATACCAATGACTGGTTATGGGGAGCGTTGCTAGTAATTAATTCATGGCCTCTTAACCTGTTTATGCCCAAGTTCATCAGGTTTGTTTATTCCAATTAGTAGTTATAATCTGGCCGTACACTGGTGTGTGGGAGCGCTCAGTGATGGCAGCATCCACATCGGCGTCTATTGATTCCTATCTAGTCCCTGGCCTTGGCCATCCTTTGAGCAAACAGTGATGGCGTGGACATTACCTCCGATCGAGAAGGCCACCCACCTGTACATGCTGAAGACCGTGTTGCCGTTGTGCATGAGGTACACATACACCTCCTCAACGTCCTCGTGCTTCATCATGCTGAAGGTGAAGAAATACACACCTGAAAAAGGCAGGTGTTCAATCACATTTATGTTAATGTATGGTACATGGATGACCACGAGACAGCAGGGAGATATGCCCCATGACTTCCCACTTCTTTTGTGGATATTCTATGTGGTCTGTAGGTTCCTCTGGGCCCTTATTTGCATGCGGGCTTCTTTATCTGCTCTCACCTTCAAACTGCTTTAATTTTTTTTCAGACTTTCCCAATGTGTATAGTGTGTGTTCAAGGAAAGAGTCGACCTCATTTTGGCTGTATGTCACTGCCTCCTCTTACCCCTGACCAAGTGCTTAAGGCAAGGTTACAGAGTACAGAGTACAAAGTTCCCAGGCACAGGTTAACCATCTTCAACACCCTCCTCAGGACTCACATGGCCAAGGCACAGAGCCCTGAACAACAGACACGTGGCCTCCGTGGCCCAGGAAAACAAACCCGTGTAATAAACAGCACAGCGAATGAGCACACTCGCCACAGATTTAGCCAAAGATAAGAAATGCTGTAACACAGATCAATGTGGATTAGCACGAAAGAAATAGTCCCAACAACTTCTCGCAATAGACATTGTCAGTAGGTGAAATTATGCACAATAAACAGAAAGAGGCAACATGGACTCAGCAGCATAACCGTGCTCCTATCAATATGAATCCTTCTCATCTGGAAAAGGCAAACATATTTTAAAAGATATGAATGTCTTTGTAAGATTTCAGGCTCCTCATCGAACGCACCTTAATTTAACCTGATACATCCGAAATGCCAGTGTAGACACACAGTACCTTTACTGGGTGATTAAGAAGAATCCAATCATAGGGAGAGGGGAGAAAAGGAAAACCTCAACCCCAGAGTGCATTCTGGAAAGATGACTGAAGGTCAAGCACCGCGCTCTCTCTGATGTCCATGCTACATTTTTAAACTCATGGCCGCATGTTAGTTTATTCGAACTGCTGTGACAAAATACCACAGACTGAGTAGCTTATAAACCATAGACATCTATTCCCCATAGTTCCAGAGGTGGGAAGTCTGCAACCACAGTGCCCGCCTGGTCGGATGAGAGCCCTCTTCCAAGTCATGGACTTCTGCTTGTATCGTCTTTCGGCAGAGGGGCCTCTTTCAGGAAGGCACTAATCCCGTTCATGAGGGCTCCACCCTCAGGATCTAATCACACCCCAAAGGCCCTACCTCTGAAAGTGATCCCTTTGGGCATTGGATGTTCAATGGAGGGATTTTGAAGGGATGCAGCATTCAGCCCACAACAGGCTCTGGAAGAGAAAACCCCAGAGACATCTACCCTGCATCATTTAGCCTCTTTTCCAAAGGTGCAATCAAGTAAGCTAGAAGCTGGAAGCTGGAAGGGTCCATGCTGATGCACCTGCTTCTGAGTCAAGTGGAACCAAATGAAGATGTCTGATTATGCTTCACTTAGTGCAGGCTCGCATACTCAATGCGCTGGGATTAAAGGAAGTAGCATACTCATCAGCCATGTCCATCCTTACTCCCAGGTGGTCCACAGGTGAAAAGCAGAGAACTCAAAGAAAGTAGTGTATATGTGTTCAGTTTTTTACATTTTACAAAACTTATTACACACACACACCAATTTTCAATGCCTTAAGAAGATAAAGCTGGAATCAAAGGACAGGAAAAGATCTTTGTTTTCATGAAAAAAAATGATGACTACTGTAATAAATAAATGGCAGAAGCATTTCAGAGAGAGCAGACTGAGGAACCGGATGGTGAATAATAAAATCCCCAGAGTTGAAAATACAAAAATGAATATATATATTATATCCACACATGGTGTTTCCTCTGAGAACGCACTTGTACTCTGGTTTTCAGATGTTACTGTAACTGTAGAAATCAACCTTCTTTGTCTCATCACTCCCAAAGACAAAAATCATAAAACAGTCACTTTGCAATCTATTGAATGAGGCTTAAACAGTAATGTGGGAGTCAAATGACAGCTGCTATTATCAGAATCATATCTGATAACTAGAGTTCTAAAGAACTACTAAACCCTTGAGCTTCCATTACAAAGCCATTGAAAACAATGCAACCATTGACTGGGCTTATCTGGGTATTTATATAAACTGTGGCACGGATAGTGCTTAACAAAATAGTTCTAGGAAAATTATAAACTGAACCTTCAGAGCAGAAACATCACAAAAGACGTTTTAAAGCCGATGGAAGCGTGATGAAAGATTGCTTCTATCACTTCCTATGACATTCACGTCTGACTTTAGCTGGGTAGAAAAATAAATCGAGGCTCACATTAAAAGCATTTGCAACAAGTCTAACACGGTCACTGCATCCATCAGAATTTTCGTCTTTTCCTTCTGGATACCACATAGAGAAACAAAAGGGATTGAAAAGAAACACCCAGAAGTATCCATTTCCCGCAAAGCCAAGAGACAAAAACAAATAAATAAAAACAACAAAACAATAAACTTTAAAAGTCCCATGGAGGTGTCAAGGGGGTGGGGCCAGGGGGTTTGAGGAGGCCATATAGCAGCAGATCTCAATCAGTGCCAAGAAAAACACACTCCCTGGTGGAGAAAGGCCGCTCTGAAGGACAGAGGCTGACAAGAAGCTCCTCCTTGAGCAGAGCTGAGATGAAGCAAAAGTTCTGTTTTGGGGGGAAGGTTGCTAAATAAGGTACAGAAGGTGTGGAAAGCAGCCCTGCAGTGGCGGATCCTAGAACCTGCCAGCAAACGTAAGATGTCCACACACAAGAGAAGTGGCAAGTCCCAGGCTGGGTCCCCAAGTCTCGCTGGACCCAGAGCAGACTGGGGAGGCAGAGGAAGTGTGACCACACAGGGGAGACACAGAGGGACTGAAACAAGAAAAGCAGTGGGTCCCCTGACAGCAGGGCAGGGAGCCACTGAGTCACCAAGCCCAGAAGGCTGCCGGGCCCATCCTCACCCAGAAATGACTTGCACGTAGCGAGTGGGTCTAGGAAAACCCAAATCATTCAACCATCAGTTCACTTTAAAAACTAGAAAAGGGCAGCAACAATTACCAACAGGTGAAGAATACTCACCAAGGGGAGATGTTGTTATGCAGTCGATGAAAAATGCAACCAAGTATTCCATCATGAGTGTAAAATATAGCAATGAAGTAAATATGAAAGGATTATGAAGCAATGCAGGAATTCATGGTAGAAATGGCCAGACAAAAGGGGCAACTAAAAATCTCAACATCATGATTAACATGAAGACATTTTTAAAAAAATCATAGAAACAAGACAGAAGAAATTGGAAGTAAAAAGAAGATACAATTAAGAACATGCAGAATAGAAAGATAAGAAGCAAACAACATGAAATGGAAATGAAGAGCTCTGAAAGATTACAGAAAATAACAGACACAGAAGACAAAGAAAAGTTAAAAACAAAGCAAGCAAGGCATAATTGGAGTCCTTTAAAGAAGCCAACCAGTGGTGTGCTAAGGTGCACTGTGAGGGGTCAGGGAGGGGAATGCTTGTAAAATCCTCCTACAAAGGAGTATTTTATCACTGACATTGTTTAAAATGGCTGGCCTGTGATGATAATAAACTCTAACCGACTTTTTATTGGCTTCATTATAGTTTTAAAATATTCTCTAGACCAGGGGTGGGCAAGCTTTTTGACTCGAGGGCCACAATGGGTTCTTAAACTGGACCGGAGGGCCGGAACAAAAGCATGGATGGAGTGTTTGTGTGAACTAATATAAATTCAAAGTAAACATCATTACATAAAAGGGTACGGTCTTTTTTTTTTTTTTAGTTTTATTCATTTCAAACGGGCGGATCCGGCCCGCGGGCCGTAGTTTGCCCACGGCTGGTCTAGACCATCTACCTCTTATTACCAGGTTTCTTAACACAAGTCTGACTGCTCCCACTGCCACCCTGCCTTACTACAACAGTGAGAAGAAAAACCAGTATTTATGTTTTAAAAAGTAATTCAAAGAAACTTTTCTGGACAAAAAGAAGGTTTAAACCCACATATCAAAAGGGCACAATAAAGAGAGGAGAAGTTAACTCAGAATGACCAACACTTATTCTAGAAAAATCATTGGACTTTGAAGTTAAAGCAAGAATTCTTTGGTAAGTCAAACAAAATGATTAAGTTACTTATAAGAGAGAGAAAAAATTCAGACTTATTACAGAGTTCTTTGGGCCAAAGGCCAGGAGACAGGGGGAAAAGAGCTGTAAGCCAAGGTTTTTAGATGCAGCTCAAGTTACCACGGAGTACAGAACATGTGAAGTCCCAGGACTACTGATGCCATAAGCCTTAAGAAAATAATTAGAGGCTAAAGTTTAGCTGGTAAAGAGATGCCTTGGAAACTCTGGTGAAATAACTAATAGTGAACATTGAATATAATCAATTACATGATCAATCTAAACCAATAACCTCGGATTGAGAGGCACTAATCTAAAATGTAACCCTCCCTCCTTCCCAGCCTCCCTGCCTCCCTTCCTCCCTCCCTCCCTTCCTTCTTTTTTGATTGGTGGAGGGATTAACTCAGTCATTCATTTACTTTTACATCTCACCTGAGACTGGGGCCCCAAATCTTCCAGTCATGACATCAAAGAAGTTTCCAATGTTGGTCTCAACGCTGCTGAAGATGATGCCACTGTTCTGGTTGCTGAAGTGAGTGGCCAGGGAAGCCATGAAGGCGATCTAAGGAGAGGGTTGGTGGTTACTTAACAGACAGTTTATTTTAAAGAAGTAGGTTTTTATACATGTCAGTTTAGTTCAGCAGTATCTGTAACAGCAAGATGGGAAATCACTCGAACATTAATCTGTGGCAAATGAATTCAATAAATCATGGTCATTTCTAACATTTTCATGCTATGTAGCCACTAAAATGATGGTAAATATCAACAGTCTGATCATGCATTTCAAGGAACGTTAGACTTCAAAATGCTGTTTGAAATGTTAAAATTCTATTATCAAATCATATTGAGAAAATTTGGATGAAATCTTCTACTTATACCTATTAAGCGCACCTCAGTATATTAAAGATTTGAGAAGCCCTTAGCCAGGGTATAAACACTCACAGCTTTGGGGTTAGAGTTGGCTTTGAGAACATCCATCTTATTAGTTAACTTTAATCTTGCCAAGTGGCATCTGACTCCTTTTATTGGTAAATGTATACTGGCACGTGGCTCCCAGGTTGCTAAAATTATTCAGCAACATTCATTAAAACGTTACAAAACCACAAAAGCAGTCAGAGTAACACACAGGACCTCTTAGTTTACAAGGCCCAGAAAAATGATGGAATTTATCCACAGTCAAACAACCACTATCTATGCCCAAATAAAAGGCAAAGTTTTCCCCCATTGATCTTTCAGACAGTTTATATACTTGAGTTGTCAAAACCCTTTTTATTTAGCACTAGAGGCCCAGTGCACAAAATTCGTGCACTTGGGGGTGGGGTCCCTCACCCTGGCCTGCACCCTCTCGCAGTCCAGGAGCCCTTGGGGGATGTCTGACTGATGGCTTAGGCCTGCTCCCCGCCGTCAGTTGGACATTCCTTAGTGCTGCCACGGAGGCGGGAGAGGTTCCTGCCACCACCGCTGCACTCACCAGCCATGAGCCCGGCTTCTGGCTGAGTGGCGCTCCCCCTGTGGGAGTGCACTGACCACCAGGGGGCAGCTCCTGCGTTGAGCGTCTGCCCCCTGGTGGTCAGTGTGCATCATAGTGGCCAGTCATTCTGCCGTGTGGTCAATTTGCATATTAGCCTTTTATTATATAGGATAGCTTCAAATTTGGAAAGTGGGAGATGAGCTGACATTCAGGGTTGCCTTGAATTTGGTCTATTCAGGGAGTTGGGTTTCACCCTTCGAACATTTCCTGCTCCCTAAGAATGGCTGCAAAGCGCTCTGAACAGCACAAATCTCCTACGCTAGAGATGAGCGAACTGAGACTTGGATTTCCTCCACGCTGGTGCCTGAGCCTTCTGCCCAGGACCAGGAAGCCCAAGACAATGCAGAAGTCACCTGGAGGTGCACCGGGCACGTACCTGCAGTTCCGGTGGAACCCCCGGGTAGCCCTTTTCTCCTTTGGGGCCGTGCTGCCCTCGCTCCCCTCGTGGCCCCAGGTCTCCTTTGTCACCTTTCTCACCTTTGGCCCCTTCATGGCCAGTGGCTCCGTTATTGCCATTGTTTCCGTGGTTTCCTTAAACAATCAGACATCGTCACAGGAGAAAGCCCCATCACTCATACTCACCATCTATTCTCATACACACACAGCCCCCAAATGTACAAACTCAGTTGTAAAGGGGGACCACTTGAAACAATCCCAGACACAGCCATAGAGGCACCATCAAATGGGGTCTCCTTTAAACAGGACACTCTTAAGGCTCCAAAGCCTGTTTTTCTTATAAAACAGGACTTAGATGAAAAAAAATGTGTAGAAGACTGATTACCAAAGCATCATTTATGGTAGCAAAGATCAGAAACCACTTAAATGTCCCCCAATACTGGAAGGGCTAAACTAAAAAAAAAAAAAAAAAAAGATACAACTGGGAGATGATGTTTTATAGTCATAAAAAGAATGCTGAACATGAACAAAAGTAATAACATTAATAATATTCATTATATTTTTAGATAGAAAGGTTATCCATCAATAGAGATAGCATGATACTATGTGTGTGTGTGAATATATATCACATATGTGTGTGTGTGTGTTATACCTGAAGGGGGAAAAGACTAGAACAAATTACATAAAAATATTTATAGTGATTTTTTCTAAATGGACAGAATATGAGTGATTTTTGTGTCATTCTACATACTTTTCTGTTTTCTTTCTGTGTGTTTTTAAAAGTTTTCTTCAAAGGACACATACCCCTTTTACAACTGGGAAAAAATAAAATCTTGGATAAAAAATTAGAATAATTTTGAAAGCAAGACTTGGCTAACAACTTCAGCTCTTCACGTTATTTTGCCACCATGGGACAATGTCTGGAGCTCTTTTCTTTTTACATTTGTTGAATTTCGGGCCCTTTTGCTGTTGACTCTGCCTGCGACCTTTGGCCGGGTATCACAGCAGGCTTGCAATTCTCCCAGATGGATGAGCTTTGAGTGTGTTTATAGGTTAGTGAGTTAATGACTAAACTGCTCCTGATGGGGAGCATTTAGCCAAGGCCAGCCTGTCCTGTCACCTGAGAAGAGTTTGCCTGAGAAGATTTTAGAAGAGTCAGAATATCTCACCTTGAACCGCTGTACCTGCTGCCTGATGTCGTTGATGGTCAATGACGGTGATTCAATGCCAGGAATCACAGTTTAAATTCTAACGGGGCACTTTCTCATTTCATTTTATTTTTTAAATATATTTTTATTGATTTCAGAGAGGAAGGGAGAGGAAGAGAGAGATAGAAACATCAATGATGAGAGAGGATAATCAATCGGCTGCCTCCTGGATGCCCCACACTGGGGGGTCGAGCCCACAACCTGGGCAGGTGCCCTGACTGGGAATCCAAACGTGACCTTTTGGTTCATAGGTCGATGCTCAACAACTGAGCCACGCCAGCCAGGCAGATATTTTCTCATTTTAATTTTGGTTACATTCAAGAATCCACTCAATCGTCTTTAAAAAAATAACCCTAATTTCATAGAGATAGCATCAATGGGATAAATCAGGGAAGAGCAAGAAGACGTTTTCCAAACCCTGAGAAAAGGTCCAACCCCAGGAATTAACCTGGAGAGAAGGAAGACAACTAAACCCCCAGAGAGGGTTGGAAGTTCTAGGATGGAGAGGACCTGGGCTTTCCCTGTCTGGCCGAGGATACTAGCAAGTTATCCAAACCCCACATGCCTGGGACACCACTCAGTAGAGTCGGGGTGGATGAATGGTGGGTCTAGAGAGGCACAGTGGAGCTCTACAGCATTCCCTGTGCCCCCACATAGTGCAAAAATGTTCCCATGAGACCAAGAGAGCCATAAAAGGCAACTGAGGGCGGCTGAAGGCCAGGGGAAGAGAAATTGAACTGAATTAAGAATCTGACAGAAGGATGGGTAGCTCAGTGAATGGCCTCATGGAGACACCTGTAGCCTAGACCAGAAAATCTCCTCTCCTTCATACTCTCACTTCATAAGTCCCCGAAAGTTAGATGCAGTGCATCACATGAACCGCACTGTGGCAGCGACCTGAA